AGGGAGGGAAGGGGGGGGGAAGAGAGAGAAAGAGAGAGAGAAACATCAGTGTGAGAGAGACACATTGCTTGGTTGCCTCCTGCAAGTGCCCTGATGGGGGCTGGGGATTAAACCTGCAACCCTGGTATGTGCCCTTGACTGGGAATCGAACCCATGACCCTTCGGTGCAGGGGCCGAGGCTCTAACCACTGAGCAACATTGGCCAGGGCCCACCTCATTGTTTCTTGTCTGTCAAGAGAATGGGCTAAGACAGGGAGGATGCTAGCGGGTCTGCTGGGAGGGCCAACACCTCTTGTCCCAAAGTCTGAAACCACTGTGGGCTTAGTTACACACAGGAGCTGGACCCATGGGGAGAGGTAGAGCCTCTCATCCTGACAAGAATTGCCTCTTCTGAGGCCCCATCGGGGTGCTCCCATCAGCTGCAGGTGAAGTCCTTGTTGGGAAGGCAGTGAAACTGGGAGCTATGGGCTGGTGGGGTGATAATCTGCAGCCCCCCTGGGGTCCCTGAGTGTTGGCTGCCTATGGTTCCAGATTGTCTTGTTATCTTATGGACACTGGGTTGTGTGACTAACCAGGTGGCCCGTGTACACTAGTTTCTAGACCCATATTGCCCAGTACAAGAGGGAAGTGCTACTGGCCAGGCTGAGATGTACCCTGAGGGTCAAATGAAGGTGGATATTTCAAACGCATAGTCTAAAAAAAGAATGTAAAAGTGTTGTTAATACTTTATGTTGATAACATAATTGAAATTACAATTTTGGGGGCATGTTGGGTTAAATGAAAAATGTTGTTACAATTTCATCAGTTTAGTTTTGCTTTTCTTTTTTAAATGTGGCTACTAGAAAATGTGAGGCACACATTGTATTTCTGTTGGACAGCTTTGTTCTGTCCAGTTCAGAGTAAAGTTTGAGGCCCTCTTGGAGGTGGGGAAAGTGCACTTTAATATCTTTATTCTTGGTTCTGTTGTGTGTCTTTGGGTTCTTTAATGTAATTAGGGCGTGTAACTTTGTTTCCTGGATTCTTCCTGCAGACTCATCTCAGGGCTTGAGAAGGGGTATAGAAATAAAAGGACTAAGGGGGATCATACACTGAGTTGTTGGAAGGACTGAATGAGGCGTGTGGAAGCCAGGAGTGGCAGGGTGACTCATGGCCAAGTGTAGACCACATCTGAGCATGGGCAGCAGGCAGATGCAGGTGAGTCTAGTTGGTTGCTGCTGGGCTCCTGGAAGGAGTCTCTTAGCTGAGCACCAGGCATCTTCTGGGGCTCCTCTCAGGAGTGTCCTTGGCTTATTGGGCTCCAGGAACTTGACCAAGAAAAGGCACTGGTGGAAAGGGCAGCGATCCTCCCGCACTCTGTCCCAGGTGGTCCTAGGTCCAGTGAGGCACTCAAGCCAGTGTGTCTGGTGACTTCTCCCTGAGGCTCTTCCTTTCTCTCACAGGATCTACTGTGTGGGGACCTGGGGTCACTGTCACCCTACTCCCGAGCAGGCTCGAGGCCTCTCGAACCATGTGCTATTCTGTAATCTGGCCTCATTTGTCCATCAGGCCCTCATGATCTGTGTCCTGCATTTCCCTGGCCCTGTCCTTTCTTCCCTAGCTGGAATACTGCAGACTGCCTCCACCATTGTCTCCCTGGGCTCTCCACTCATATCTTACATGGCTCAGATAGACCTTCCTAAGCCACAGGCCAGGCTGCTCCAGGCTCTGAGAGGCTCCCCTCCCCTGTGCCCCAGCCTCACTGGCTTCTCACCTGAGCACTTGCCTGTCACTGGTGCTTTCTGTGCATCCATCAAGGCCCAGTCTGGGGCAAGTGGTCTGGGCATCCTACCTTGGCCTTGTGCTGCCCAGGTAGGTGACTCTGCTGCCCCCACCACCTAACAGGCCCACCCCTCCCATGGCTCCTCACACCATGAGGGTCTGCGCTTACTTGGCCATAAGCTGCCACCTCTCTGAGCCCTGAATTCTCAAGTCTCATGTGCTAAGCTGTGTAAATGTGTGCTGAGCAAGTGGCTCAGGGGAGAGGCTGTTAGCTCTGAGGAGACTCCTGGCTGGAGCTTGAGGAGGAGCTGGTGCGGTCTGAGGGAGAGTGCCCAGGCTGCTCCCACTTCACTGTGTGCATGAGTGCTCCATCACCGGACCTTGATTTCCTGACCTTTAAAGTGGGGGTTTACTGCCCGACACAGGTAAATTGTGAGATAATAGTAGATTGCGAATTAGATCTCTGACGAGGAGGAGCAGTGCTCACCTGCATTTCTTCCCTTCCCTGGTTTGGTGGGCTTTTCTCTGCGTGCGCTCCCCGCCTACCCAGCCCACTGGAGGCTCCTTTCCCTGGCTCTAACTCTGCCCTTGTCTGTGGCAGGAGGAGCTGGAGCACCTGAACCAGGCCAGTGAGGAGATCAACCAGGTGGAACTGCAGCTAGATGTGAGTATACTGCCTGGGGTGTCTGTCTGTCTCTCTCCCTATTCAGCACAGTGGCAGGGGAAGGGGTGACACAGGAAGCAAGAGGGACTGGGACCCGCACACAGTGTTTCCTCTGCCTACATATCTGTCCCTTTGCCAGGAGGCCAGGACCACCTATCGGAGGATCCTGCAGGAGTCAGCGAGGAAGCTCAACACTCAGGGCTCCCACTTGGGGAGCTGCATCGAGAAGGCCCGTCCCTACTATGAGGCTCGGCGGCTGGCTAAGGAGGTACAGCCCCCTGACCCTTGATCCGGGAGGGCCATGCGCCGGTCCTGGCCCAGGATTCGTCCTTTGTATGGAGTGGGAGATAGAGCTCTTTTCTCTCTGCTTTTGTCTTACCCCTTCCTTTT